CATCCAGTCCCAAACCCTCATAGAGACTCCTTGTATCTGTGCATCTCAGTGTCCATTCTCAACATCCACCTATTCATTAGATAAGCCCTTTCAAATGTTTTTTCTCTGCTAGCCTTTTAACAAGCACTATGTAATGAATAGTTGCTCATCCACTAGCCAGCACCTTAGGGCAAATACTGAAAAAGCCATTTATTTTAACTCTCAGAGAGAAGAAGGCAATGTTACCATTTTGTTGTTACCAATTAAAGATTCTAACTCCATTTCTGATCAGAAAGAAAGCTATTTTACTTCTAGAGCCACTTAAATTGTCTGACAAACACTTGACTGTGACCCTTGATTCCTGTATCATAGAATATAAAGATTTAGCCCCTCCAGAATGAGTTAGCTCCAAAATAAAACTCTCAAAAAAATAAAAGAATCAACCTGAAGAGTACAGGTGTTTAGTTTTATCTACTTGAATCCCAAATTAAGTCCATAAAATGACTAACTTTTGTATAATTACTAGTGAGCTGTTGTTTCGGAGTGTAATATGCTAAGTGGTCCCATTGCTTCTGGAGTTCCTGTCTGGAACATGATTAGGATCTTGTCATTAGCACAGAGGAAGATTGTTTTCTCCCACTGACTATGTCTAGAAGATCTATATCAAGACATTAAAAGACATAAAATTTGCTTATGTCATTCAGATATAATTTCAACATAATTTCAATAGTTGGACATCATTCTGCTTTGCATTATTTACAATGATAAATTGCTTTGTTACTACACTTCTTTGTTACCAAATTTTCTTTAGAGTATATTGATAAAGATTCTGAAGAAGCACAAATGCCAGATTTGCTCTGTGGCATCAGAGGTTGCCAACAACATTTTTTTAACACTTCAAAATGTTCTACATATTTCCAAATTTATTGACAATAATTTAAATGTGAATACTGGCTAAAAGTAAAAAAGTATGCCTGGAGCTTTCCCGTTCTTTAATTTATTAGATTTGAGAAACTCAGACCTGTTACTAGACACTCCTAAAGTGTTAAAAAGAAGTAAAAGAAATGAGTCCACACTTGGATATGAAGAACTGCCCTTTCTTTGGTTATGAAAAAGATAATATTTTAATTTTACTTCAAGGAAATTAGATTAAATCATTTAAATTGCATAAGAGATCCAGTTGAAAAGTATCTTCTTTTGTAGAAGACAGATAAATCATTTTTGATAATGAATGAAATTACTGAATCCTATCAAGAGAATGTTTTGGGTTCTGAAAACTATGAGTTGGAAAAGAAACATAGGCCCAGTAGGTCACCGATGAGAACCTGTTACCTTCAGCCTTCCACCTGAAGCAATGCCATAAGCAGTTAGTTTCAGAATCTACATTAGTAAGCCCTACTTTCTGAAATTGCTTTTTTTTTAACATTTTTTATTGAGTTATATTCATTTTACAATGCTGCATCAAATTCCAGTGTAGAGCACAATTTTTTAGTTATCCATGAACATACATATATTCATTGTCACATTTTTTTCGCTGTGAGATACCACAGGATCTTGTATGTATTTCCCTGTTGAAACTGCTTTAAAAAGACTTATATTTAATGAATGTGAGAGTAAATTCTTTTAATTTCTATAAAAAGGGATGTCTTTTTCACTTTGACAAATGTCCTTGGTTTCCCAGCAACAGGAAAATGACAACCAAGGTAACTAATTCTCAAACATGAAAATGCCAGATTTCACCCTATTTTTGACTGGTAAGTCACTGCAGAAGCTCGTTATGCCCATAGACAGCCAAAGCAAACTGTTGGGAACTTTCACAGAAGATAGATATTTACTTGGAGTTTCTGAGACCTTCTCAAAAACATCAGCTACTTCAGCTTCCCAATCTTGACATTCTAGTTGTATGTACATTTAAACTCTGACATGGAGATGAGAATTAGAGGACAACTGATCCCTTCTGAACTTACAATGTCAATTGCCCATATGAAGCCAAGCAGAAAAAGACTTTATTAAATCAAAGATTATGGATGTTTAAAAATTTTTTTTAAGTAAGTGGAAGTCTTTATAGCCTTTCCTGCAAGCCCGCATTGAACAATATTATATGAAATAAGTAACGTGATCAACCTTTTTATTCTCTATGATTTTCAGTGACTCTTCCTATAAGTTTTACAGAAAGAAATAATCTTAATTTAAATGTTAGAATAATGTTCTTACAATTATTTTAGTACTAAAGAATGAGTTGCTTAGATATGGGTCAGAAAACCATCCTACATAAATGGATACCTATGACCTAATAAAAGGTAAATATGATATAACAAAGAGTGAACACAGGGTTGTTGAGCCGCAGTAAGTTGATAACTGGCACAGTCCACCCCATTGACTATTCAGCTTCCATATGCACCCTTATACACACGTTGAAACTCCTGAATATCAACAAAAACTCTGTATTTCCACCAAATAAGATACAGCCATCTGTCTTAAAGTCCTCATCCTCTCCCCAAACTGAAGAAATTCAGATTTCCAATGGTCATTGTATCCATCTATGGATGAGTGACAGCATAGGTGCATTTTTAGTTTTACAAGAAACTGCCAGAGCTTTTCCCCAAAGTCATCACACAATTCTACACTCCTTCTAAAAATGTATGAGAGCTCCAGCTGTGCTGTGTTGCAGTTCGAGTTGCAGCTGCTCTGTGAAGAAATTCACCAACATTTGGTGTTGTCCTCCTGTGTATTATAATCTAAATACAAATATGGGTTGATCTTAACAGCTATGCTCAGCTTCAGAACATGGACCAATGAACTGAAATGAAATATAATAGTGGGTTTCATTTACACTTTTTTCACAACTCAGCGCTCTTTAAATAACTTCCTGTATTTCACCCATTTACCATATGGAGAAACAGTGGCCCCCAAATCAATGGGATGTACTGCTTACAGCTAGGAAGCCATAGTCTCTTGGCCTTCACACTCTACAGCCCAACTGGGAGATTCTATATATTATATCCCTTTGTAATAAAGTCTATAACACTAATTTTTCCATAATTTTTGTCTTCTGTCAGGTGCTAATGGCTTTTAGGGATATACAGAAGGAGGTGAGATTAAATTTCCATTCACTAAACTCCCTGGCCACATTACTTCCCTTGCTCCTGTCTTTCCCATACCCTACTGTGATGCTGACTCTGATCAAGGTTTTAGTTTCATTTCTTTATCTAAGTATTTCTCCCTCAAAAAAGTAGCTGGACTTGTCAGTCCAGGAAGCTAAGGCAAGAAGATGCCTAACAATTCCCTTGTGGAAATATGAAAATATGGAGAAACATTTGTATCTACCAGAACTACTCTCTACAAGAATATTCTATGCAGTTATATGAAATACTGAAAGTGACTGAGTTAGAAGCCCCAAATGACATGGTAAATTTCCTTATTAGGAGAATATGTGTATTAATTGCAGGGAAATACAAATAGAGCCCAGATCCAAACTTTGGCTAAGCAGAACAATCCTCTTCTGCTCTTCTTCCACACAGATTTCAGTCTTTTTTCTATACAAACACTTATCAAATATTTAAAATATAGTCAAGCATGCAGTATATTATTGGCTGGCCCCAGACACTGAGTTGTATACTAGCTTGCTCAAGGTGTTGATATGTCTCAGTCCTGCCAAGCCGACTGTCCCACCTTAACTTTTTGCTCTATGTTAACAACATTACTTATCAACAGACTGCTACACAGGCAAACACAAAACTTGGAACAAGTACTAATATTATAAAACCACAGGAACTGAGAAACTTTTGTACAGATTTCTTAACTTTTGTTCCTCTGAATAAAGATCTAATTTCATTAAAGTTAAAATCTAAAAATAATACGAGACTCCCATGGTCTTAGAAACAGTAGCTCTCTCTTTCTGGTTGGGGAAAAGTGATGGGTAAAGTAATTGAGAAGGCACTGAAAAGAAATCCCCTCTATTTCACTACCTGTACCACTCTTAGCCTTTGAACTAAGCCCTTTTCTAGTCCAAGAATCATGTCATTATATTCTGCTGCTGTGCCTGAGGCTTACCTTAGGGAAAAAATTACACCAGCCTTTGCCTCCATCTGGCTGCGGGTAAAAGAGTGCAGAGATCAGAAGCTTGATATTTTCACCCAAGTTTTCCTTGATGTCGGATGCCTCCACTCTACCCAGAACTTTAGTCCCCTGAGGCCCAAGTCTCCTCCCAGCAGGACGTGAGCTGGTGGGAGGAGGCGGCTTGTCCGTGAGTGGGACTTGCGTGCGTTGACTTCCATCCTCTCAGGGCCTATAAACAAAGGTACAAGCCCCATCTGACATCCTCTGTGCTGAAGCTGTCTTCAAGTTCTAGTCCTTTTTCAGGGGTTCACCTAGGCACAATCCCTGCCCTCAGAGACCACCCAGGCTGGTGCACATTGTTTTGTCAGTCTGACAGACACTGTAGTCACAAACAAATTAGAAGGGCCATTTTTGTACTTAAATACCGAGACAGAGTCAAGCAAAAGATAGCCAGGAGAGAGAGATTCAGAAGGTGCTTTCTTTCTGATTAGGCAAATGTTAAGACCCTGCCCTAGAGCACTGTTATGTAGAAACACCATCTGGCCACCAACTGGGAGCTCAGGGGGCCCAAAGTGTATACCAGCAGCAGCTATTTACTCTGGGATGAGTAAGAGGGAATTTTTAAAGGTCTTTCACGTATCTTAAAGGTTCACCTCAGAGAACCAGCACATACTCAATAAGGAGAGTGAAAGGGGCCAGAAAAGGGAGAGCAGAAAAGCCAGAAAGAATAAAAGAGGAGAGGTCACTGAATGACTAATTATAACTGTATGTGATAAACTGTGTGTCTCACACTCAACACAAATTCTGCTTTCAGGAAACTTAGCATTTAATTCCATTCTGAAAAAGCCCATATGTCTCACACAGGCATCCCTACATTTCCCCAAGTCTATAGCTGGCCCCTGAGTCTCTGACTTCTCTGAATTCTCATTATTTTTCAGCTCCAGGAAGATGCTCGGACTCGAGGTAAAAGAGCAATATTTCAAGGTTTGGCTAAACGAAGAGTGGTGGGAGGGAAAAAGGAGTTCATACAGAGTCTCTTCATGGGAACTTCCATTTGGCTGAAAGTTGGAGTTCAGGCACCGTTCATCTCGCCTCTGTCCAGTCCAGTTATCTGGACAGGGGCAGCAGGATCCCTTCCTTCCTTGGGATGGCTGTTGAGGGCCTGAGGAACTCTCAGTCCTTGGTCAGACATGGCACTTCTCGGTAGAGGAGAGACAACAATCAAGGGTAAGCAGCTTCCCAGCCCTGTGTAAGGGTTTAGCAGGGCTGCGATGGGAGGGACTGAACAGTGGGGAGATCAGAATGGAATGACTATTCAGGGTGGTCAAGGTATAGCTCTCAAATGCCCACAGGCAAATTTTAGTGTTTCAGGAAAATATCAAAACATCCAGGAGCCTAGGATTATGACATAAAAGCCGTATTTAGCGCTCTTTCCAAGGAACTTAAAAATCAGGGCTTTTCAAACTTTTGCATGTACACAAATCACCTGGGTACCCTGTTAAAAAGCAGATTTTGATTCAGCAGGTCTAGGGGGGTGGCCTGAGATTCTGAGATTCTGAGATTCTGTATTTCTAAGAGGCTCCCATGTGATGTGCTGCTGGTTCAGGGATCAGAATTTGAGTATCAAAGATATAAATGACTGAGCCCACTAAAATATCCTCTATTGTCACAATGAAATAAGATTTAATTCAGGGACTTCCAAGTCCCATGAAAAGATTAAGGATACTTCAGATATGGGTGCAGGAATTAGAGGAGGAAATTGAAAGGAGATTCTGACTAGCTGAGGGCTCTCTCTGGGAATTGAAACTACAATAATGCTTTTCCAGCTCCTTCACAAAACAGAGCTCAAAAGAGTCTGAACCTTCCTGTGGCTCTTTTAAGACAGCCAGTCCAGAGAGAACGCCCTCTGCTCTTTCTCCAAACCCGGTCAGTCACCCCCATTCCAGAATGATAAGGCAACACGGCCAAGTGGAATCCATTGTGAGATACACAGGAAACTTCTCTTGGCTACTGAACCCTAGGAGTCAACAGGTTAAAAGAGCCAGGTGTACTTCAGCTTGAAGGATGCTCTCCTTTATTCAAGGAAGGCTGATTTCCAAATAGGTCACTGCAGGGCCCTGGAACACCTGCTTGATGACCCAGTGTGAAAATGTGGATTTGGGATTTTACTTGCTGTTGTTGCTTTTCTGCTTCCTAAAGGTGGGCGGTGGATGGGTGGGGGAATTCAGAATAAGATGAGGAGAACTCAAGTCTTGTTGTACCCATTTTCCATGCAAAAAAAATACAAGGACCTGTTCCAATGTTGGAGCCCTAGGACTGAGGTTTTCTGCTAACTCTTGATGGCCAGCACTGGTTAAACAGGGGTCTGGTGGCCATGATTCAGTGTGATTTATAAATAACCAGATGTCTGGTGCCACATTCTGCAACCACCTCTCTGATAGGCCTATAGGTCTTCAGTTTCCCCACAAGTTCTGGCCTCTCCCACTTTGACTGGCTTTACTTCAAACTAAGGATGTGAGCAGGGCTCAGGGCTCCTAGAGAGACAGTTCCAGGCCCCTGTAACGGAATGATTCCTTCCTGTGTCCCCCTCAGGGATGAGCAACTACTCCATGACACCCATATCATCTGCATCGAGGACTGGGTAAGTGGCCCTCTTTTGATAGTCCCCAAGGGAGAAGGCATCCATCTGGATATGGGTGTAGTGGCTAACAATATTGCTGCCTCTGAGCCTTGAGCCTTCAGAAACCTGTACTTCCAATATAGGTATCTTCTAAAGGGGCAGGAGGTGGTCCCCCATCACTCTCAACTAATGGTGAAATACAGAGCCAGGGCTTCCTCCTCCATCCTCAGCCCCATCAGAAATCTCTGGAATCTCAGGATCAGTCCTGCACCTCACCATAAGATTTTGGGAGATTCTATTCATTCAACTGGAGAAATGAGGGAAGATAGGAAGAAGGACAGATAAGAAAGAAAAGCCCTCAAAAGGGAGTAAAAAATCAGGAACTTAGATGGAGAAGGACTTAGAAGAAGAAAATTTTAAAAACTTGAAAGTTCATTGCCCCAACATTAGGAGATGTCAATTTCTTTTCCATAAGAAAAAGACTAGGAGAAAAAAGACCAGAGATTTAATTTAGACATTAGAAATGACTCTCCAACAGTGAGAACTGACAAACAGGGCACTGGGTAGTCAAGACAGCAGCATCGTGTTCTGCAGAGGACTTCAGAAATACTTTTTAAAATCAGTTTGACACATTTCAGATATGGTCCCACCTGAGTCAGGAAATGGAGATGTTGAACTTCCCAGATCCCTATTTGAACCAAATTTGATCCTACCCTAAAGAGTTAGCCATAGTGAAATAAAAAACAATCCTCTAAAAGAGACAGTGCTGAATTTAAACTGATCAGTGCTGAAACTATGAAAGGAATAACTGGTAATCTCATATTTATATAAATCTTAAATATAATTGTTGTAAATCTTTACATATGAGGAGCACTTTCTATTGGAAACCATATTGGATCAGTGATTTTACTTTATTTTAACATTCCTCTGAGGCAAACATGAGGAAATTTCCTGACCTTCCAGATAAAGAGGCTCTGATACGTTAAGACACAAAGTCTCCTAATGCCAGCAAGGGCTCTTTCCTATGGAACACACGGTCATCAGGGAATTGCAACTCCCAGAGCCACTGATGCCCATTCCTGGTGGAGTCTGACAACAAAATCCTTAAATACAGTGTAGGCCAGGGAGGGAGGCCCCAGAGATGAGATCTCTCTCCCTTAAACATTCACAGCCTTCTCTATTTGGTACAGAAGTGTCAAGCGTTCAGATTCTGGGATGACCCCGAAGTTGGAAAGACTGCTGCCAAGCAGTGGAGAGCAGCCATCAGGGGTCCAGGCCCACAAATTGAGAAGCCAGTTCTCTGATCAATCAGCTTGCTACCCTAGACCCTAACCCTACAATCAAGGAAGAAGACCACCTTTGCTTCTGCCAGGTGTTTCACCCAGATGGCCTTTCCCCTGACCTCCACTCTGCCCATCCTGCTGTAGCCAGGAACCCAGGCCTCATAAGTCCTCACTCCAACATGACAGAGCAACCCCCTCAGCAGGTGTGGTCCAATATGAGGGATAATCGAGTGAGAGGGTAGAAGCCCGAGGGCAGGGCTGAGCCAGGATCTTTTGGTCTCTGTGACTGAGGCAAAGAGCCAAACACTGCGTAGGTAGTTCTTGTACAGGGAGGGAGGAGTGTTCAGGAATCAGAGACAACTATGGGATAGAGAAATGGAAAAAAAGTTTAAACACACACTAAGAAATGTGAGGCCCATTATTCACTTCTGGAAAGTGCTCTGGAAACTTATATTACCTTTGGTGCTTAATTCAGAATCAAAAGTCAAATACTGTAGGTCCATAATAGACCCCATTGTCAAGATTTTCATTAATAAAATACTTGAGTGTACTGCCCTCAAAGGAACTGCTTAAGTGGTAGGCCATTTCCTCAACCTTTTTAACTCCCCTGCTCCCTAGTTTCACCTGATACCTAATCTCATATGGAGAAAAAGACCACCACAGATGCTCACCTGTGTGTGGCATACACTAAGCTAGCCACACCATCTATATGACCCTGTCGAATCTGCGTGATGACTGACGGAGAAAATTAGACTCATCTACGTGTGCCTAAGTACAGTGACTCTGTATTTTCTTGAATAGTCCCCTTTCAAATATTTTATCCCATTTTCTCCATGTATCAGCAAAATACACAAAACGTCCTAGTATTTTGCAACAAGATTACATCTTTCTAAAAGAACATATACATTCACAAAACCTCTATTATCATTCAAACCTCAGTTTTGACTTGGAAATTAAGGCAGGAAACTTCCTTCCTCTTCAGTACCACACAGGCAGCAAGAGTAGGGTAGCAAAGAGTGGGCCCTATGCAGAAAGCAGGTGGTACACAACCAGTGGATCTTCTCCCTCAGTCTGAGCTGGATATCTTGGGATAGGGTAAAGAAGGCAGAAGTATCACCAAGAGATCTGCTTTTACTTTCAGTGCCACCTGCCTGGTAAACTAAATTTCTTTTATTCCCATCTATGTGACTGTGACATCTAGGGCACAGCTTTGGTTGCCTGGAAAAAAAAAAAGTTATTAGGCAGACATCCCCACTGATCCAGAAGAGGGAATGATACTCACAGGCAGAAATGCCAGGGTCTGTGGCTACAACGGGGAACTTGGAAATCAAGTGAGACCCACACACATCACAACTGCCAAGCAAAGAAACCAGCAAACAACAACTGATAAAATAAATGTGGTGTGAAAGACGTTTACCCTATTTGATCTTACTGGGTAGTAGGATGTAATTCAGAGAACACCACCAGTTCTCAATTCCCTTCCCTGTAAATAAGGAGGCATAAATAGAAAATGCTAAAGGCTTCTTTCATTTCTATTATTCTGTAATCCAGATGGTCTCACAGTCTATGATTCCAACATAGCTATCCCCAAGACTGTGAAAAAGCCACGGAGTCAAAAAATATTTCCTACAGGAAAATGCTATATAGGATATTTGTCAAAGATGGTGACCTTGGCACATATAAATGCACATATGACAGGGAAGATGGAGTTCTTAACTTACTCTTTCTTTTCTAAACAAAACTTACACAAAAAAATCACATATAAAAAGTATACAAATATTGGGGATGGGTGAATTTGGAATTCAGGAGTAACAGATACACACTACTATATATAAAGTAGATAAACAACAAGGACCTACTATATAGCATGGGGAACTATATTCAATATCTTGTAATAACCTATAATGGAAAAGAATCTGAAAAAGAATACATATTTTTATATATATGTATAACTGAATCACTTTGCTGTATACCTGAAACATTATAAATCAACTATACTTCAATAAAAATTAATTTTTTTAAAAAAATTAGACAATGTAGAGTTTAACCCTAGGTGGCATGAGAATTTGTCACAATACAAGTAAAATAATAAACAAGAATACATTATAAAAACTAAAGTTTTAAAAACCATCACCTCATTAGATGTTGACTTTGCATTTGTTAAAAGACAAATGTTGATTTTTTAAACTAAGACTACAAAAGTAATGGAAATTTTTTCACATGATAAGATGATTTCATAATTTTAGGGTTGTTTTGAAAACAAAAACTATACAAGGATGCTTTCTATTTTCATGCTAACTCAACAGTATTTAAAATGCTTTTAGTGGTTTTCCAGTTCCAAAAACAGGTAAATACAATATAAAATCCCAGTAAGACATTTTATAGACATTGACAAAGATAGCAAAATTCACCCAGAAAAATAGGTAAAACTTCAAAAAAAGGGGTGTTGATGGAGTTACCTTCAAAATTTTACTTCTGAAAGTCAAGATAATGAGAAGACAAGTCACAGACTGGGAGAAAATATTTGCAAAAGACACATTAGCTAAACAAAAGACTTTAAAAACTCAACAATAAGGAAATGAATAACAATTAAAAAATGGGCAGAAGAACAGATTTCTTACTAAAGAACATATACAGATAGTAAATAAGCATATAAAAAGATGTTCAACATCAATGCCACTAAGGAAGCTAAAATGAAGAGTTTGACATTCTGGAAAAGGCAAAACTATAGAGA